AAGGACAAATATCATATGTTTGCACGTATAGGAGGATTAGGAGGAACTTGACGGAGGAACAAGCGGGAGAAGAAGGGCGGAAATGGTGGGGGAAAGGGAGAGAGGCAAACCATGAGAGACTCTTGAATGCTGACAAAAACTGAGGACTGATGGATGTGGGGGGGAGGGGGGGATGGGCATGGAGGAGGGCACTTTGGGGATGAGCACTGAGTGTTATGTAGAAACTAATTTGACAATAAACTATTTGTAAAAAAAAAAAAATTAAAAAAAAATAAAAATAAATAAAAAAAAAAAAAAAGAAATACACTGAAAGCCCCAAAGAGGCAGCAAAGAAAGGTCAGCCCTAATCTGCCCCACCGCAGTAGTATCTCCATCTCATCATTTTTGAGCTGTTGGAGAATGTTTTTCAAATGCTGATCGTCTGTAACTGGGGGCTAAAATGAGGTCACATATTTTACACGTGGTCCCGTGAGGAGGAGGATGTGAAGCTATGGGTTCATTAGGTCCACAGGGCAGGTGATCACTACCTTTCTCAGTTTAAGAACAGGAGACCTGAGTGATTTTTCAGGGGCACGAACACAGGGAAGGGAGGCCTGCCAATATTTCTCAGGATCCAGCCTTTGGAATTCCTGGATGAAATGTGAAGCCCTTTATGATTAGAAACCTAATTACTTTAAATAAAAATGTACAGACCCTTCCAGGACTCCTAACCCACTTCCGGTAGTTCAGTCTACATTAAATTATGAAGAAAGACTTAGTAAATTGTATCCAGAATCTTAATAGATCCTTGAAAACTGCAGGCTCCATTCTCCAAATCTGGAATAAATGCTACAATTAAAGTATCATAAAACTACTTTCCAAACTTAAAAAAATTGCTAAGAATTCACGGCTACAGTAATAGGGAATTTAGGCACTAAACCAAGGGGACTGAAATAATAATTTATCTCCTTTAAATTCATAGAGCTAGGTGTTAGACTATGTTAATTTTAAAAATGTATATTATTCCTAGCCTTGTGGAAACAAAAACACAAAGAGAGATAGTCACTTATATAAAACACAAAAACCAATTATTAACATTTTTGCTAATGATGAACAAAATTTTACATGAGTTTCTTGCTACAATGATAAATCTGGATACACAGAATTACATATCCAATTCAATTAAAAATAGAAATAGAGTTAGAATTCAATCTCAAGTGTGCCTGCTCAGAAATCCTTAAATGAAGGTAAAATGAAATCAGGGTTAATACTAAATGAGGTTTTAGTCAACCTCAAAGTTGGAAAGAGGTTTTGTCAACCTCAAAGCGCTCCACAATTGTTAGGTATCACCATTAATACATTTAATGGAAATGAACAAATGTAATTAATATGTTAAATAGTGTCATTAACTTAAAAGAAATAAATTAGATCAATAGCATTTCAGAATATTTCCACAGTGATTTGGAACAAAGTCTATAAGAAAGTTAAACCAAGAAGCTCAATTAGGCATTTGTCACTTCGCTCCCATTAGGCACCATACCTGTAAAATCTCAATAATCTTCAGTTTGGTGTCCATCACGGTCACGTCCTCAGGCTCTACAGGGCTCCCTTGCTTGCTGGGGTGGATGCTGGGCTGAACGTCAGGCACACTCATGGGGAAGATAGAGCCTCGGCTGAGTACCATCTGGGTCATCATCTCTCCCACCCCGTGGATGGTTCTCATGACATTGTTTCCTAGCACAAGAGAAGCCCTTAAGTCAACACACACAACAGCTGGGAAACAGGTGTAATATCCAGTTGGTCAAAACCAGACTGAAAACATGACAGGAAAAGTAATGGGATAAGAAAGAATAGCATCCACTGTTCTGGCTCTTTCCTTACAGACAAAGCCAAGGTCCTAGCAGACGCGTTTCAAAACAACAGATTTTAAAAATAAAAGTTTACTTTTCTCAGAAAACGCTTTCAAATGAGGTACCAAGGGTAAGTGGTGGTAGCTCTGATAACATCCAAGTCAGGTCCTCTGGGGACACAGTAAGTCCTCTCAACTGTGACACTGACAGGCTCTAACTTTTACAATAATGTGAAAGAACTCTACGATAATGAGTTACATGAAAACACATAAGTGGTGACTAGCATCCTAATCCCACCTTCACACCAAGGACCTCATAGCTTTGCTTTCATAATGCTTGTGAGGAGGATTGTTATAACTTCATTTTAAGAAAAAGAAAGTTTCATCTGGGGAAGAACCATGCATTTGCCAATGCACTTCCCATTCCTTCGTCCAATTTGAATAAAAATATCATTATTCAAAATCTACAAAAAAACAATTATGTTTGAGGTAATTACAATAACAAATTAGTGACAAACATGATCATTTTGGGGGCACCTGGGTGGCTCAGTCAGTTAAGCATCCGACTTTGGTTCAGGTCATGATCTGATCTCATGGTCTGTGGATTCAAGCCCTACATCGGGCTCTATGCTGACTGCTGGAAACCTGGAGCCTGCTTCAGATTCTGTGTCTCTCTCTCTCTCTGCCCCTCCCCAGCTTGCTGTCTCTCCCTCTGTCTCTCTGTCTCTCTCTCAATAATAAGCATTAAAAATTTTTATTTAATGCTGATGCATAGGAGCACATGTACCCCAATGTTCACAGCAGCACTCTCCACAATAGCTAAAACATGGAAAGAGCCTAAGTGTCCATCAACAGATGAATGGATCAAGAAGATGTGGTTTATCTATACTATGGAATACTACATGGCAATGAGAAACCATGAAATCTGGCCATGTGTAGCAACATGGATGGACCTTGAGGGTGTTATGCTGAGCGAAATAAGTCAGGCAGAGAAGGACAAATATCATATGTTTGCACGTATAGGAGGCTTAGGAGGAACTTGATGGAGGAACAAGGGGGAGAAGAAGGGCGGAAATGGTGGGGGAAAGGGAGAGAGGCAAACCATGAGAGACTCTTGAATGCTGACAAAAACTGAGGACTGATGGATGTGGGGGGGTGGGGGGAGGGGCATGGAGGAGGACACTTGTGGGGATGAGCACTGAGTGTTATGTGGAAACTAATTTGACAATAAACTATTTGTAAAAAAAAAAAATTTTTTTTTTATTTAAATGATCATTATCAAAAAGGCATCACCCTCTTTCTACATTTTCTGAGTTTGACTTCTCATTCATTTGTCCTCCAATAAAACTGCATGTATACTCATTCCTTCCACTGACCCCATGCAGCTATATCAAAGCACCCTCCTGACACTGCTCCAATTTATTTTCTCCAGGCTGACGGCAGTTTCTCACTTCTCAATTCCTACAACAGGCAGGAAGGATTCAAAAGAACAATTGTCTACTTTTCTTTTTTTTTCAGAATAGTGGTCTTTGCTTCCGGTATGTTCATGGAGCTTTGCCTCAGGCAAAGGCGTAAGAATCCAGCAAATAACTTTCCTTTCCCTAAGTGTCTCAGCATATACACCAAGAGAATGGGAAATGGAAATAAGATGGGATGAGATAAAACTCCCAGCTCTCACTGAAGAGTATAATCTGTCGGAATACCTAAAGGATCAAAATGCAAATGAAGAAAAGGAAAATATTTAAAGGATGACTCAAAAGTCTTGATGGTCTTGTGCAGACTAACTCACAATTATCGCCAAGCCACTAGTAATCACTATGAAAAGTGAAATCCTTTTTAAAACTTATTATCTTATCCATATATGAAATTAATGTATATAGAAAAGGGTGGTGCTCAAATAGTACAAGTATGAGGTGGCAAATAAGTAACATTTTTTTCTAGAGTGGCATTTTCCAGCAGAAATTAAGTTTGGTTTTCATTCTGAGAGTCTATAACCCTTTATTTGACTGCTGTTTGCATAAACCAAAAAGCGGGACAGGCAATAAGAAAAAATATACGGGAAAGGTAATTTCCAGGTTTGGACTAGACGGAGACCACGGATTTGAGAGAAGCCTATTTTCCACCAGAACAACCTCGAGGCAGAATGCTGCATTGTCTGCGGTACTCAAGCAATCACAGCAGTTGACGACTTCCAGCCACCCCCACTCGCCACCCCAGCGCACTGTTTGCCACGTGGATTGCAAGGATGCACATCTGATTGTTGGCAGTGGTTTTAGGCAACCAACGTTTAACCAGTACAATTTATCCGAATCTTGATTCGAGCATGTCTATGTGTTAGCCTCCAGGAGATGCTTTCTTACCACTAACACAGAACAGGCTCCTTTGTTATTCCCACTCCCTGATTCACACAGAAAACCTTGGCACCCACAGTGTCTGCACCTTATTTAGATTTGCATGGAAAATAATCATCTAATCCAAATGATTATTACACAGAACGTTAGCCCAGACAATTCTTTTCCCCCAAATATAGATCCTGTCACCAAGAAATTAAAATCTAGAGACCAGAACCATAATAATACATAACACATGTTGTCAATGACATGGACGGGTTCATTCCGGTTCTACCATATCCTTAGATGCCTGTGGCACGTGGTCACCACAAAACTCTGCTGACATCTCCATGTATGGCCAAGAGAGAGGTCCCAAGTTAAAAGATGCTATATTTTCTGGAGTTGCTTAGTGGGGATGAGAAGTGCTTAAATTGTGAACTATCACAGCTTGGAAAACTATAGTCAAATGCCACATAAATCACAGACGTACAGGGCTCCCGAGTACCCATTTTCCACAGAAAATTTCTGATTCTAGACTATTGAGATAAGTCGGCCATCAGTTTTCAATGCTGCCAAAGAAGAAACGTTACCGTTTTTCTTCTCAACCATAATTAGTTAATACTACTAAGAAGTTTTCAGTGGAAAAGCTACTTTATTATCACATAAATCCTGTGGACAAACTAACCCCTAAAAATCCAGGTTTTTATGTCCTTCATTTTAACCCAGCCAGAATTTGGATATATGTATAAAGGGTGTTGAGATGGTTTGAAAAAATGGAAGTCATCTTTGTTAAGCAAAATTAAGAAAGAAGGTGTTGCTTAGAAATAAAAGCAGATGAGGGTGCCTGGGTGGGGCAGTGGGTTAAGCTTCAGATTCTTGATTTAGGTGCAGGTCATGATATGGTTCATGAGATCGGCACTGACACCATGGAACCTGCTTGGGATTTTCTCTCTCCCTCTCTCACTGTATGCTTGCTCTCCCTATTTCTCTTTCTCTTTCTCTCTCTCAATAAATAAACATTTTTAAAAAAAGAAAGAAAAGCAGATAGATTTTTCAGGTTCTTTTATCATTGCATGGTTAATTTTACTAATCCTAATTCCCTCAAGAGAAAAACCTGAAAGTAAGAGAAGTATGCTAAATGCATACTGGGAATGGTGTCCGAGGGGGGTGGTGAACATACTGCTTGTTTCTTTGTTTATTTGATGGTCCTGATGAGTCAAGTTTCCGTTACCACTTCAGAAAGGAAAATGCAATACGAAATCTACATAACCCAAAAGCTGTGCTGACCATGATTTAATTTTACCTATTCAGAAGTCATGTTACCGCTGGTGAGCACTGCTGGCTCAACCATCATTGAGAGTTATGTGGATTTCTAGAAAGTATAAGAGATTTAACAGAATCTTACTTGATTGAAATCAACCTTATATCTATTGGTATTTTATTTACAATCATCTTTGTTATCTTTTCCTACTAGAAATACTATTCTCTTATAAATACCTAAGACTAGACATGATAATTTGAATTTTCTGGTTGTTTTGGTTCCAGATAGACATTTATGGAATCTTCTTGGCATTTATATGAGATAAACAAAATATCTGATTAGAAGAGTTCTGTCAAAAACTGTTCGTGGCCATTTAATTGCTCTGTGACTACTAAAGTCAGCTCAGTGTTTTATATATAATAAAAGCCAAAAATATGGATAACCCAAAAAAAACATTCTTACTTCACTGAAACATTTTTATAGTTGAATTTGAAAAACTGCATCTGCTGTTATAATAATTCATTTGAAATGGAATGATATTAAACCATAAAGACATGACTCAGGAAATCTTCCTGCTTTCCATCTCTGCTCAGCAGCTCCTTAGAAACCCTCTACTTGCTGGAAGACGCCTACACTTTAAAACAGGAGCAGTTTTCTATTTTGAACATTCTCTGGAGCAGTGCTTCCTCCCAGTGGCTGAGGGTCTGGTTATAAAAGGACTTTTCCACATGCAAAAAAAGCCAAAAACATTAACACAAGATGAACACAAGCATTAATTAAGTTAGGGATACAAGCAGAATAATGGGTACCATGGTACCAACCTGCATCAAACTCAATATCAAGAGTAACCCCCTAAGAAGACAATAGATAACCAGCATTCCCAGTTCAGATTAGATCAGGGTATTTTAGAGGGCTAGATATCCAGTCTCCATCAGGTTTTTAGGCTTTGGGCTGGGCCTGGTGGGAACGTACTTTTCCTATGCTTAGAGTTTTCTTAACCAGATGCTCCCTTAACTTGCTTTCTCACTCATTTATGATTTCTGGTACCATGTCACATCCTCAGCTAGACTTCTGGCCACCCTCTCTGAAGAAGGACTGCCATCATTCTGGGCCCACGCACCTGCTTCACATTTCAGTCTTGGGACATTATCACCATCTCACATCATATTTTATATTTGTTTACTGTATACTCCCCGCAAAAAAAACATAAGGTCCACGAAAACAAAAATTCTGCCTGGTTTACTGCTCTATCTCCAACCCCTGAAATAGTGCCTGACACACACCAGTCATTCAA